AAGACAGAATACAAAAATTAGATTTCTAAGAGCATGCATCTTTCCCATTGTTGCAACATACACCTGTGAGGCTTGGACACTTACTAAACAAGCTGAACAGCGCATAAATGCCTTTCAATATAAATGTTATAGACGGGTTCTATGAATATCATGGGTAAAGAAAAGAACAAATGCATCCATACTTCAAAACTGAATAGTGAAGAAGGTTGGCTATTGAAGAAAATGAAACATTAAGTTGCGTATCATTTACATGACGTTGCAGAACCAACCCCATCATTTGTGGCTGTTGTGGTTCTCCGAGGCAAGTTTACGTCCAGTAGTTTGCCATTGCTTTCTGGATGGGCAGCTTCTCGATACCACTGTCGAAACGAACGCAAGGCACAAGGCCTGCAGCTGGGATCTAACCTGGCACTTCGGCATTACAAAGCGCGTTCGTAACGCCTAAGTCACAGACGCCGACCAATGAAACATAGAAAATTAAAATATTTTGGTCACTTAAAAAGTCAAGGAAGTTTGGATAGAATAATAATGCAGAGGAAAATGCCTGGGAAGAGAGGAAGGGGAAGGCCAAAGAGAAGATGGGAGCAGGATGTGGCGGATAAACTCCAGATGTGGGTGTACCGGACGCGGGACATCTTGCTTGTGATCGAGAAGTTTTCCGGAGGGTTGTTATGGGTACAAGGTTCTGCAAAGGACATGCTACTGAGTGACTGACTGACTCACTCTCTCTCTCTCTCTCTCTCTCTCTCTCTCTCTCTCTCTCTCTCTCTCTCTCTCTGTTTCTCATTCTTCTGATCACTCATTATTGTCATCTCTCTCTCGCCCTCTTAGTTTCTTACTCCTTTGATCAGTTATAGCTCTCTCTCTCTCTCTCTCTCTCTCTCTCTCTCTCTCTCTCTCTCTCTCTCTCTCTCTCTCTCTCTCTCGACAGAAAAACAGACAGAGAAAATTAAAAAAAAAAAAAAAAAAATAAGCGAGGAAAGCGTGCTATACACAGGTTTACACCACAGGACTGCAAAAATTATCAGGGATGCACAGGTGGCGGCCCACCTCTGCACAACTACTGCCGTTGATGTAACAACATTCTAGAACTTGTCATCGGAACACTCAATTAAGCGGTAGTTTCCAGATGGGCAAGCGTGCTGAACTACTCATCTGTTTTATATTGCATCGATTTTATTTTGACAGCTGCAGCATTGTAAAATGATTCGATTCATTTCTGCTCTCTTCCCCCTCCGCTTCTACATCCTCATTTCTTCTTCCGTATCCCTTTCCGTTGTCCTCCACCTCTCCTTTCTTCTTCTTCTTTTTCTGTATCCCCAACAGAGCACCTTCTGTCTACCAATTCACACCAAGTCTCCTATCTTTTGCTGCTGCCAGTAGCCCACCCCATAGTAGCAGTAGTAGATTTTTACCCCACTAGGACATCACACACGCGATAAACACCCGATGACACAAAGTGCCACCATGTGGATGAGGATCACTGTGGAGAGGTCCAAGAAACCAATTTCAGTCATTAGATGATATTTTTGGTCGATCTATATTGCGGCCCCTGACAAGAGCCAGGGTGGATCTTCACATAACGAAACATTGTATCTCACAAGGAGACGGCTAAGTATAGCTGCTAGCCCATCCGATGTCCTCGCCACCGTTTCCACCCCACACTGTTTAATTTCTTTCTCCGGGGCGTTTATTATTTCTATCATGCTGTTTCTAGGTCTAACATTCCAATTACATTGTTTCCAGGTTTTATAAGTGTGCCCTATCCAACGCCAGCGTCCTTTCCTCACCCCTCAATTGCCTCAATCAGTGTAGTTCTCTCCCAACACTTTCCATTAGTGATTCTGTCATACACTTTAATTTCTTGTACTCTGGGCAGGAACTGGTGAAGTAACAACTATCTAGATCAGCAAGCGTTACTGTTTCTATTCAAACAACGGATCAACAGTACGGCACAAGGGCGGTAACCCATAAGTGCTTCGTTCTACTTCTAACTCAAGCCTGAGTCAGAAGAACCTCAGCGCATTGCACGAACTCCACAGGACCGGCGAGGATCCTGAAATACACAGGGCATACCGTTAATTCCTAATTGACCCGGGCAGCGCCGTTAGGCTACTCTTTTCTATTTCCAACTGCCCGTGGATTTTTTTTTTTTTTTTACGTGCGCAACAATGCATACGGGCGTCTGATCTTGCTACCTAGAGACCAGGGAAGATTACTAGAAGTCCACGTGAAAAAAAATTCCTGAACCCAGGACCGCCAACACTTAAAGGCGGACGTCATGCCTCGAGACCACGCTGCTTCCTCAACAAAACTTAATGTTCATGTAATAATAATGGTTGTTAGTAAATTAACTGTTGTGAGGGTTTCAGTACAAAGGGGAGTTTCATGCGTAATAAAACAGCAGTTAGTTAACGATGCGGTTAATTTGTGTTAAAGGGATGAGCCAGATGGAAAAAAAAAAAAAAAAAAACTCATGAAAGCGGTTGGTTAAACGACTCTCATAATTGATAATCAACTCTGTACCTTTGATAATTTTTCGGGGAAGTATACAACAAACACCTGGAAAGTAAAACAAATATAGAAAAAAAATGATTATTTAAGCATATTTAAGTAATTTTTACATTAGCACAAATTAACACGACTCAAAAAGTGATTTTTAAAGATATTTGCGTTGAGAAAGGGTTAAAATTAAGTTGATAAAGACACACACACACACATATATATATATATATATATATATATATATATATATATATATATATATATATATATATATATATATATATATACACACACACACACACACATACACACATATATAAATATATGTGTGTGTGTGTGTGTGTGTGAACGCGCGCGCGCGTGTGAATAGAAATGTAGGGAGAAATATAAAATCCTAACCAAGTTACAAGCGACACAGACTCAAATCCTAACCAGGTTACAAGCGACACAGACTCCATCTTCAAAATGAAATGGAAATGAAACAAAGAGCTCTGTGGTGATATAAAACATGTATTCCATTTGTTGATATTGATTTTCGCTATATTCTAAAACTGTATTTCGCAAGCATGACGCCAGCAGATATAGATGATAACAGTTGGGAGTGGAGTGGTCAGGGAGGTCGGGAGAAGCCTAGAATGTTTGGCCATGAATATATATATATATATATATATATATATATATATATATATATATATATATATATATATATATATATATATATATATATATATATATATATATATATATATATATATATATGCATTAGAAACTTATGACTGGAGTAAAATTAACTTTATATTGTGATAGTCTGAGTTCAAGCCATGAAAAAAAAAAGATCAAGTTTCGCTGCTATTTGCCTCTGTTAAAGCTGGGTGAAATTATCGCTTTAAAGTATCAGTGGTCTCTGTTAAACTAGGTCAAATGATGGAGTTAAAGTGGCATGAGTCTCTGATAAAGTTAGGTCAAATGACAGAGTTTAAGTGCCATTAGTCTGTGTTCAGGCTAGGCCAAATTACTGAGGTCAAGAATATAACTGTCAATAGTTCTTTGTTCAAATAATGTCAAATATTCGTGATCAAGACAGTGGTTCTATGTTCAAGCAATGTCAAATGATCGAGTTTAAGCATCAGCAGGGCCTGTTCCAGTTATGTCAAACGATCAAGATCAAGAACACGACTGTCCATCGTCTCTGTTCAAATAATGCCACATGACTGATAACAAAGTGTCAATGATCCCTGTTCGGGTTAGGTCAAACGATCAAGGTCAAGAACTAACTCGCAATGGTCTCCGTTAAGCTAAGTCAAATTATCACCATGAAATGCCATTTGTTTGTAGTTTCTAATGTATTTTCTTATACTACTTTACATAACTTCAATATACTTGTAAATCTGTTCTCCCATCGCTAGATCTTTTTGTTCCAAATATTTGTATTCCTCTTATTTATAGCAGTTAGCCTCTATGTGAATGTGATGGACAGCAGAAACCACAACAATTTCTCAAGAGTAAGATTACAGGTAAAGATTTTGCTAAATTTATAGTGTAGATTAGTAATTACTCCCAAACTGTGCGCGGCGGCGCTCCGGGGAGCCGCGACCTTTTATGAGGGCGACACGAAATATTGAAAAAGCTTCATAATTAATTTACCCAAGACACTAATAGTCATACTTTTATTTAGGGTAGGGTGCCGTTGAAAAATTTTAATCTAAAAAAGGCGCCGCAACTAAGAAAAATTTAGGAATCACTGGTTTAGATGTATGTTCAGAAGGACATTCCGCATCCACCTAGGATGATAGGGTAGAGCAATGTAATACTTAGTATAGCCGTAAGGCTTCCTTTAACGAATGAATAAACAAGCTTTATTGTCAAAGGATTAGGAATTGGGCACGCAGGCCTGTCTAACATTCTGCCCTTCAAGTCTCCCTCCTTTCATTAATCATTTCATTTATATATCAAGTAGCAGTAAACATTGTTAACAGCATCAACATATTAAATACAAGCACTGGAAAGTGCACATTTCTAACGACAGCAAACAGCAGTAACTGTAATTAATCTAGGCAATATATGCACTAATTCTGACATACTGTTATCTTTTACGGGGGGCACGTAATCTGTGTTTGGATAACCATTGCGTGAGGTTAGCAAGTGTAATGTTAAGGACATGTAATAAGATTTACTAAGCTTCGCAAAAGAGAAACTACAACGATAATTTTTCCAAGACAAATCATCACACAAATTCCTTACAAGGAAATCACCACAATGTCTTACAAAGAAACGAAAAGAAAATGTTTTTTTTTTTTTAAATTAAAAAAACCACCACAAGCAATTCTCAGAGAAACCAAATGAAGAATTTCCTACTGAGCAATCAAATCCAGAATTTATCAACGAGAAACCACCGTAAGAAGGAAATGCCACTACTAATCATAGTAGACTGAAGAACAGGGCACAGATACAACACAAGCACGGGTATTTACTATAAAGCCATTTGATGAGCTTACCTCCGTCCAAAGCTATATAGTTCTGATGAGCAAACGGGTCTGATCTGAAACACAATACAAATAACTTCATATTATCAAACAATACACATATTCGCAATGCTATCAGCATTAAATGAAAAAAAATAAAAATAAATAAATAACAGACTAATATGCCTCAAATGGTGCGAGCATAAAACAATTCAAGCATAAAACATGAAATCACAAATAATGAGGAAATTGGAAGATCGGGTATCACAGCAATGTCTCTTAATGCTCAGTCTTCCAAGGCTCGGGTGGAATAAAACATACTCGGAGAATGGAGGAGGGTAGAGGCCTTGTGGGCATCCTCTAGGGAAGTGGTGTCCAACTTTTATCTTGCCACGACCCTTTAATATAAGTCCCTAGTGTTGTGGCGACACTCAAACAATTTTTGTTTCCTTCCTAACTTCAATGAATATGTGTTTTCCGATCGAAGGTCGTTCGACCAACACACACACACACAAGCACGCACACACACACACACACACACACACACACACACACACACACACACACACACACACACACACACACACACACACACACACACACAAGGGTCGCGACCGGCAGGCTGAGAACCGCTGCTCTAGGGGTGAATTACACATGAGTAGGAAATATCTGAGACCTATATTACAATTTAAAGATGTGTGCAAGCATACATATAGGCATACATAGGCATATTAACCTGCTATACACAATCGTCTGAAAAGACGGACATGTGGCAACTGAAATAACACATCATATCACTACTACACAGTTCTTTATATACATCAGTATGACGATGCGGCTTTTCTTGGGCTTGTTTGTTGTTGTTGTTGCTGTTGTTGTTGTTTTTTTCTTCTTCTTCTTCTTCTTCTTCTTCTTCTTCTTCTTCTTCTTCTTCTTCTTCTTCTTCTTCTTCTTCTTCTTTTTTTTTCTTCTTATCGTTCATCAGCCCTAAACTCCCATAGAAAGTTCCGGTTGTTCGTCCACTTCTGGACATTGGTCTTGTTCTAGAACTTAATTTTTGCGTGGACATTCCTTTTACAGAAGTTTAGTTGTATGAATACTGTGGGTTTCTTGCCTCTCAGACAGATGCACTCTGACTTCGAAAACACCCTTACGACATGTTTATTACCGGTTTTCAAAATATATCCAGCAGACCCTAAACAACGAGCGCCCTATCTACAAAATGACTACACGCCTATCTTTACAAAACATTTCCATCTCTTGCTAAAAAAAAAAAACACACACACACACACACAAGCTCATGACTACAAACTGACCAAAAGTCCAACTCTTCAAAATATGACCACAAGCCTATGTCTACAAACTGACCAAAAGTCCAGCTCTTCAAAATATGACCACAAGCCTATGTCTACAAACTGACCAAAAGTCCAACTCTTCAAAATATGACCACAAGCCTATGTCTACAAACTGACCAAAAGTCCAGCTCTTCAAAATATGACAAGCCCATGTCTACAAACTGTCTAAAAGTCCAACTCTTCAAAATATGACAATATGCTCATGTCTACAAACTGTCTAAAAGTCCAACTCTTCAAAATATGACCACAAGCCTATGTCTACAAACTGACCAAAAGTCCAACTCTTCAAAATATGACCACAAGCCTATGTCTACAAACTGACCAAAAGTCCAGCTCTTCAAAATATGACAATATGCTCATGAGTTGAAGTCTAAAAGTCCAACTCTTCAAAATATGACAACAAGCCAATGTCTACAAACTGTCTAAAGGTCCAACTCTTCAAAATATGACAACAAGCCCATGTCTACAAACTGTCTAAAAGTCCAACTCTTCAAAATATGACAACAAGCCCATGTCTACAAACTGTCTAAAAGTCCAACTCTTCAAAATACGAGAACAAGCCCATGTCTACAAACTGTCTAAAAGTTCAACTCTTCAAAATATGACAACAAGCCCATGTCTACAAACTGTCTAAAAGTCCAAATCTTCAAAATATGTCAACAAGCCCATGTCTACAAACTGTCTAAAAGTCCAAATCTTCAAAATATGACAACAAGCCTATGTCTACAAACTGTCTAAAAGTCCAACTCTTCACAATATGAGAACAAGTCCATGTCTACAAACTGTCTAAAAGTCCAAATCTTCAAAATATAACAACAAGCCCATGTCTACAAACTGTCTAAAAGTCCAACTCTTCAAAATATGAGAAAAAGTCCATGTCTACGAACTGAAAAAAAAGTCTATATCTAAAAATATGACCACAAGCCCATGTCTACAAACTGACCACAAATCCATCTCTAAAAATATGACCAAAAGCCCATGTCTACAAACTGACCACAAATCCATCTCTAAAAATATGACCACAAGCACATGTCTACAAACTGACCAAAGGTACATCTCTAAAAATATGACCACAAGCCAATAACTACCAACCCTCGAGCTTCCGGGTTGGTAACAGGCCTTATTTGAGGTAGGGCGGTATGGGTGGATGGATGGATGGATGGGTGTGGTGGAGAGAGGACAGACCTGCTGCCCTTTTAAAAAACAATCTGGGTTTATAGTACTTAGTGATATTACATACAGTTCTCCCTCTCTCTCTCTCTCTCTCTCTCTCTCTCTCTCTCTCTCTCTCTCTCTCTCTCTCTCTCTCCTCAGATCGACTGGTTGTCCGCTAACAGCGTAGCTTCAGTGACCACAATTATAGATCTCCGAAACACCTGCACTCTCCAAACGAACGATACATTCCCAAACCGAACCCACAGCTTTCAGATGACGAGGCAAACTACTAAACAACCTGGTCATGTAGACCCCCAAACAATACTGCTAGAACACATTTCTAGTATGAAACATTACCAACGCACTCATCAATAAAGTTTACAGCGAGATGGTAGTTTTCATAGGTTTGTTCAGATTCAATTACCATCAAGAGAACCCAATAAACAGAGCTAGCACTAAGACAGGATATTAAATCGACAGAAAGACGTTCTGTCGATGGCATTATTCTATTGCCAGCCTGTGTCCTCAAATATGAAATGTTCTATCCACTAAGATGTGAAACTATTTGCTTAACAACTTCATTGCTGCAAGAAAATGGCATCCGTGAAAGAGAACTATTGGTGAGAAATCATTGCCGATCAATGGCTTCAGAATTATATATGATATGTGCTAATAAAGTATACAGGAGTGATCTAGTGTTTCTTAGTTTATCGAAAATACAAAAAATACAAAAAAAATTATAATTTTAGAAATTTTAGAACCTCTAATTAACATACCACTCACTTGCCCTATCAATCGAAAAGGATGCTGAAGGCTGAGGGCGTAGTGTAAGCCATGTGGATGTGGAAAGCAAGGGGAAACTACCACATTATTATCCCAAGAAACTCATCACGGAAGCCGGAAGCTGAAGTATTTAGCTCATATCAAGCGCCACGACGGATTGAAAAAAAAACTATAGCAGAAGGCATGGTACCAGGAAGAAGGGGCAGGGGCCGACCGACACGAAGATGGGCACCGGAGATAAGCGACTCCTTGAGTATGAAAGTACATGAGGCGGGGGAGCTGGTGGGGGACTGAGTTTCATTCAGGCAGACTGTGATAAGAACGACGTTTTGCAAAGGAGCTGCTACATGATGATGATGAATTAACATACACACTATGCTAGCTGTTCCCAACCGTGAAGCCCAAGAGCCCTAACACAGGCTCCTCTGCCGCGCAAGGAAAATAAATAATAACTGATGTGAAGGGAGCATCTGTCGATCTCATCAGGCTACAAAAGTTAGGAATTGTGACCCATCATTTACTTTGCTCCATTCATTACTGTCTGAGGAGAATGGCGCTGCGAGGAGTTGCCAGGGGATCTAGTCGATACTCAACACTCAAGGGAATGGCGAAACGGATATAAAACCAGAAAGTTACTGGGGCCATCGGAATTGGAACTCTTCGTTTGCTGCTGAAGATAGGGACAGAGCGCTTATGGGAGTGTCCCGAGGGCTGTGATGTCGATTCTTAATTCAACATTTCTTTGCTCCATCAGTTTATATTATCTGGTGATATTTCGTATTTACTGTATTCTACAGAGTAGGGAGGGAGCTATAGAAGTAAAGACTGATTTGTACTTATGTCTCATAGACTATACGGGAGCGTTTGACTGTGTGGGGCATGGGGAGGTAATACAACTGTTAGAAAGGTTGGACATTTATAGGAGGGATCTACAAGTGATAAAGAGTATGTTTTGGCAGCAAACAGCAGCTATGGGAATTGACAACTGTTTGGGTACATTTCGGGGCATAAAGAGGGGCGTGCGACAGGGATGTGTGCTGTCACCGGATTTGTTTTCAATATGCAGTGAATGTATAATGAGATCTTCGGTTGATATGCCCAGAATTGTGGTTGGTGGGCACAATATAAACAGTTTGCGTTATGCTGATGACACAGTCTTGATGGCGGCAGGTCAGAAGGAGCTACGGAAAGTGATGGACATTGTGGTGTTGGAGAGTGGAAGAATGGGCCTCAGTTTGAGTAATGCGAAGACAGAGGTAATGGTGGTATCAGAGAAACGAATTATTCCTGGGCGTGTAATAGAAGTCGATGGTGTTATTTTAGGATAAGTGCGGAAATTTGGGTGTCTGGGCACGTGGATAGCATCAGATGGAGGATGCATGACCGAAATAGGAGACAGAATAGGACAGGCAAAAACTGCATTTTATAGAGTGATAAACATCTTGTGCGGTATATCCTTGTCATTGAGAGTTAGAAAAAGAATTCTTGCTTGCTATATTCATCCCATTTCATTTTCATCAATTTCCTCAGACACTTGTTTTGGAATGCAGTAACGTTCAATGATGCCATAAACATAAACTATATACAGTAATCTTCTTCTTCTTTGATCCTTCTGTCAGAAAACTTACACCAGCAGGCCGGCAGCCTTTATGAAAGCTATCATGCAGTCCATATCCTCTCGTGTACCATGCAGCTTTGTCTTCCTTATGGGTGGAACAGGCCAGATTGAGTCTCAGTTTTCCGACATTCAAGAAGCTATGCGTGACGACGCCATGTCTGTGGGA